TGATATGTTCGCTTAAGTGAGGCCAGTCATTAAATCCAGCTTGGCTACTTAATTTTGTATGTTTGGCAGTGCTTGAGTCATTGAATGTTTTACAACAAAAGCAATAAATAACATTTTTCTCGGCGGAATACAATAACCACTCGTGGAACTTTTTCATTATTTGGTAAAATTCGTGTAAAATAAAAGTGGGAAAATTTTCGCCCCGTTTTGTCCTTTGGATAATGATAATCCCTGTTTTGGTAATGTGCAGTACTTTTTACAACTAATTCTCTAACTTGGGATGGAGATAATGTACCAGGCCATAAACCCGGATCCTTAGAAATGGGTAAAGACCCCACGATTTCTGGTACCCTATCTGAATTAATCTCTTCTCCAAGGGCACTTTCTGACCATCTTCCGCTTGTTTATTGCAGTATGAAGGTAACAAAATAAAATCTGGATCGCTTTCATCTACTCTCATTGCAGTTGACGGACCACTACGATTATCCTCAGTACTGCCTGGAAGATTTGTAGACAACTACTACGGGGTTTCTTAAAAAATTGGGTAATTTTTGAGTTGGTCTTTTCTATTTCATCTTCTCGTTTTCTTTTATTCAGCAAATGTTGATATCTATATAATTTTTTTCTTTTTTCTTCTCTTGCCATCTGAGAAAAATGACAACATTAAAATTAAGATAAAAAATGTTCCTAATTGAGTTGAAATGGAGACTACGGCCTTTAATCAGTAAAATTAAAAAGTGAACTTAAAATTAAAATGATTTATTTATTAGACGTTTTTACGTAGTTTTTACTTTTATATTGTTTTGTTTGAAACCGACATAGATTTCTAATGGAAATAATGAAAATTTTCTAGTTATGTCACGATTACGGTGGAGTATTTTCACTTCTCTTACCTTGTAGATCATCCTTTTTTTAGTGGTGTTTGCTGCGGAAAATCGATTTTCTATCATTTTTGCTCATTTAAAGTTGACCAATTTCGAGCCCATTTAAGCGATTTAATCAACTTTTTGTTCGATTTTGTGGTTTTGGTAGTTTCATTTCTCTAAAACTAATCATTAGTTAGTTTGGCTTAGAATTTTCTTTCCTTTTCAGTAAAATAATATGATTTTCCAAAACTGTGCTATTATAACAGTGAATAAGTCAGAAAGGTAATTTTCCCTTGTGGCCAAGGTCAGTTGAAGTTAAATAACATGGTAGAAAACAGTATTATTTTATTGAAAAGGAAAGAAAATGGGAACCCAAACTAACCCAGAATAATTAGTTACACAGGTATGAAACTTCCAAAAATTCAAAATCGAACAAGAAGTGGATTAAAATTGATAGAACAACGATTTTCCGCAGCAAACACCACTAAGAAAAAGTGCTAGTAAAGGAATTATCTACAAAGTAAGCAAAGTGAAATACTCCGCCGTAATAGTGATAAAACCAGCAAATGACGGAATAATAAGTATCTACATCATCTAGATTGTTTTAATGTATGTTAAATATTTCAAAAAAATCTAATCGGTATTATGTATGTAAATAAGTTAATTTTAGTAAATTACTTACCTAGCTTCTTTTTTGTCTATTTTGGAACTAAACGCTAAATATAGAACAAGTTACTTTTTCGTGAGGAAATCGAACTGGCAGAAAGCAATTCTGCAAGACCTCCTAGAGTCGATTACGGCTTTCAACAATAGAGTATTGTTTCGCCAAGATGAATGTAGACTTTGAAGAACTACATGTCGTACGAGGAGTTCTGAGAATTTTTTTAAATGATAACACCGCCGCGGCGCCTTTTGACTTTTGGCGCCGTCGTGCAGTGCACGTCTTCGCACTAATGGACGGCGCGGCCCTGGTCACAGGCTGTGACTGACCTTTTTTTTTCGAAATTCTGAGCTGTACCTTGTCCTTGGAACTTGTTTTTTTGACCAATTGCAGTGCTTTTGAAATAAAATAGCATTTGTTGCATCTGCCCAGTGGAGTAGTGGACGAACTAAATTTAAATTTGTGTAGGCGCGATTTAACAAGTCTGGACATGTTTCAATATTCGTTTATATCAAATATAGCTGAAGTATTAAATGGCCAATTTTCAATTAAGCGATAAGATGAATTCTAATCAGTGATTAGCATGAAAATAGAAGATTCAATTCACATACAAAAAAAAATTCACATTTTACTGCCCTTAAGTGGTAAAGATAAAAAATGTGGTCACCTTTTTTGTGTTCAAATAAAGTTTCGATAAAATGGTAAAACGTTACTCATAAAAAATGTTATAACTCTTTTTGACCATGAACCCTTGCATACATAAAGAAACAAAAGGCATTAGGTCTTCGGTCATAATTTATCGCTGACCCATCAGATTCGCACCCAAATTACTAGGAAGTGGCGTGGATATCCTTCAATGGAACAATTAGTGCAGTCGGATTAGATTATATTTTTTCTGGGCACTAAATAGATGAAAGTAATTTTTTTTTAATTTTTTATAATTAATTTGGTTTTGCTTCAAAAAGTCTCACTATAACTTTTTTTGAAAATGTTTGTATACTTTATGTGGTATAAATTTTAGTTTCAAAAATTCATAACTTTTAGTTCATTCCTATTTGTTATGTAAAAAGGGCTCGTGCCAGATTCTAAATACAATTTCTTTGGGACGTCGGAAAGACTTCTCTGAGAATGTATATTACTCGTAAAGAATTATACTACAACGTACAAGAAATGAAAATTTCATTACTGACTGTGACAAACAAAACTAAATTAATTATTGAAAATTAACAGAACGCTGAAATCGACGTTTTTTGTTTTTCGATTTTTAAGTAAACTAATAAACGGATCTTTTTTGGACTTTTTTTCAATAGCATCAACGGTTCAATAGTTATGCATAAAAAACGGGCTTTCGCATTTTCTTTAATTATTTACAAATAATTTTTCAAAAACAATGTTCCACAGCCGAAATTCGAGCACAAACTATTGTCTCAATATTCTGACATCCATCCGAACAACTTCCAATAATCTTTTACCATCCTATTTTTAGTGCCCGAAACAGGCCTTTTAAAGTCTAAGCCGACAGGTCCGAAAATACGCTTCAGCCCGGTATCAAGTACAAACCAATATTTATCATAGGTCAAAATAACATGTGACAAAAAATCACAGATACTTGGAACAGGTACGAGCTTGGAACGGTGACACAAGAAACCTGTGACAGAAAAATACTGGTTTGTGTCATCCCTAGTGGGTATCTATATTTTTACAGCGATTTTAAGCACGTATCAAAAATCATAGTAATTTGTATCAAATCCGCAGGAAATAATGTATGCGCCTTCTGAATAAAAGTAAATAACACAAAATAAAATTAATAATGGTATTTTCAACCGTATTTCCCATTGATACAGAAGTTTTAATATTTAAAAAAATCATATCATACAATTTAGTGAACTCACTAACGACAAGCAAGCAAACAACAAATATAATTATCGCAACCGACCCCGTGAACGTTTGAATCATTTAATAGTAATGATGACAATATAAGCAAATTATATGGAAAAAAAAGTTTTTATTTTTTGAAATGGTCAAGCTCACGAACCATCGCACCACACTGAACAAGCTAAAGGGTGTCTCAACAAGAGCGTCGGATTTAATATTAAAAAAAAATACATATTTTTTTCGAACTAAGCAAAAATTTATATTTCAATGTTAACAGGAATAGATGCGTATAAACATGAAATACGACATCCGGCAAATGACCACCGCGAAACCCGAAACCTCTGGCACACGGAAATTCTTTTCATAAAATTCTGTCTCACGTTTTCGCATAACTGTGGCCCTATTTCAGCAATAACGGATCGTATCTCTTCTTTAACGTTCAACTGTCTGTGGCTTGTTCACATACACCTTTTCCTTCACGTAACCCCAAAGAAAGAAGTCCATCGGCGTTAAATCGCAGGATCTTGGTGGCCAATTTTCATCGACAAACCGAGAGATGACACGGTCTGGAAACTTGGTACGCAGTAGCAAGTTTCCAGACCGTGTCATTTGACCAGTTGTTTCGCGAGCTGTGTGGAAAAACATGTTCCACACATCAATATGATCGAACTGGGGCCGCAAAAACTTGGTTAGCATATTGCGGTACCGCTCACCATTAACATTTAGCGCTTTTCCAGCCGCATTTTCGAAAAAAAAGCATGGTCCAATGATGCCTCCAGTCCAAAATGCACACCAAGCACTTACTCGCGGCGGATGAATTGGTTTGTTCAGTATAATACGGGGATTTTCAGCGCCCCAAAATCGGCAGTTCTGCTTATTCACATACCCGTTTAGCTGAAAATGTGCCTCATCGGAGAAAATGATTTTCCTCGAAAAATTAGCATCAATTTGGTGGTGCTCCAGCAACCAATCAACAAATACACGGCGCTGCACATGATCCCTTGGCTTAAGTTCTTGCGTCATTTGAATTTTGTACGCATGCGCATGCGAATTGAAGTGTCTGGATTCTCGGCAACACTTCCCTCACAGCGGCAATGTTTTCAAGGGATCGGCAAAGACGGCGACGAACAGTTCTCTTTTCATCCATGAACGTGAATTTTGTTTCGAATTTTTTTACAAAACGGCGAACTGTCGCCTTTTTTGGCGTATTGTTGCGACCGAAAATTGCGCGCAATTTTTGAATTGTTTCCGCGAAACATTCCCCAATTTTTTAATAAGTTTTCACAATAGTTAAACGTTGTTAGTTCAGATACAGCTCCATAACTTTGAATCGCCAGGTCTGTACATCACAGCTGTCAAAAAACCATGGTCAAACTAGTCACACACAAAAAATGGCGGCAAATTAAAATCCGGCGCTCTTGTTGAGACACTCTTTATGCTGTCTGAACAATGTTTAATAACTGATTAAAGAGACAATTAACAAAACTATAACTAAACATTTATTCGCAAAACTTTAACGAACTGAGCAGCTGCTCAGGTTAGAATTTGCAATGCAGTTTCTGAATTTAAGTTTAATGCTATCCGCCCCCAAAGCTTACCTGTTCGTCGAAAGGAGAACAAACACCCAGAGCTTTGAGTAGTTGCTGGAACTCGACATTTTCCATAGCCGTTTCCGCATAATCCATTACAGGAACTAATGGAATACCTTCATTATTTCCGACCTCGTAATCTTCGCCAGCGTCGCCTAAACTCTCTTTCAACCACTCGAGAGAATCCCGCATTTCTGAAAGATGAAAGACTAATTAATATCCAAATTCTATTTCGAATACGAGAGCGAGAACTCCGATAACGTCAACTGAAATTAGTTGAGGATAAAAGTAGCAAGCTCGGTTTGACAGCGGATTGAACTTTGAACTCAGTTAATTAAATCGGATATTTCCTGAATAAAGTTCTATTCCAGTCGGGTTAATAACTATTCAATGTCATTCGTGCATGAAATAGGAAAAATTCCCACTAAATGGAATATGTGGCTGCCAATTGGCAATATTTTGTTGCATTTCTCTCGTGCGCGTTTAGAAGAAACAATGTAAATTGAGTTCAGTTATAAAATTTTCGTCTCTGTTACTGGTAATACATACAGATTATAGACATTAATATGTGTTATAAGTTATAGCTTGCTTTATGGCCACCATTTAAAAATGCCAGAACAACAGCAATAAATTTTCTGTTTTTGCTCTGATTGATGTGAAAGTAGTCACTTAACTGAGGAAGGTGTATCTAGGAATTGAAATGTATTCTGGATTTTTAGTTATGTGATGTTTATGACAAATAGGGATACAACTTTAACATGGTGCAGCTAGCACCGTCGGCCAATACATTTGATATATCTCTGATAAACTGTTTATGTTACGGATCAGGCCGCATTAGCGCCCAATGGGGTAAACCGTTTTTAAAACGAACAAATTTGAACCAAAGAAATACCACACAGAAATGATTTACGGTAGAGATTTCCTCTAAATATTTGGGTTGAAACTGATTACGATCTGCTGGTTGACTCCATTACTCTATCACACGTTTCCATCTGCACTTTGTTGACGATGACACTCATTTTAATAGTACCGTGCGTTATATAGAACCATAATCTCAAGTGCAAGTTCTACATTAGAAAGTTATGCAAACTATGTTTTAAATATTAGAAAGTTGCGAAAGTTAAGCAAATATTGAGAAAATAGTTTGAAATAGCCACCTAGTAGTTTATGAAGATATAACAGTTTCGCATGGCTGTATCTGATGAACAAGACGAAAGGCTTTGCAATCATTAGCCACTTTGTTGAATGCTAAGCGATCTAATGAGTTCCAGACAGGAACAAAAGAAGTAAATAAAATAATTTGCACGCACCGATTTTATGTTACGAAGGCGACATTATTGAATATGTGTGCAAAAATATTGTATTGTTTAAAGTTGACTTTCATGGGTTAAAGCGGCAAGTCTGTTAATCACGCTCTATGTGACATTGTCATTATATTAACAAATTGATAAACTGCTGAATTCTTTAAGAATTTATGTTCATGTTTAATTGCTGGATCATCCAAAAGAATGTTCTTAGGATGATTTCCACCTGCAACTTTATCCATGAAACATTTACAATCATATTTGGTTTACAATGTAGTAACTACATACTATAAAATTCCTGAATGTCCCACAAAACGTTTATAACTTTCCGCTTTATTGCTTTTAAAATAACTACTATTTGTGTTCGAACCATCCCTGATGTAGGGGTATATTAATATCCAAATGAAGCGTTAATCAACTGGAAAATCTGAAAATCGTTGTAGAAAAGAGATTTGAAGAACTTTTGAGCAAAGCTTTTAATGTGGACATTGCCAAATCATCTAGCTCTTGCTCAGTTAAGTGTTGATTTGGCACTTACTTATTTAGTGGAACTTGTTAGTGGCGTAAATACACAAACATGTGTTCGTCTTGTTCTTGGTTCGACTGAATTTAACACAGCAATGCGTGCAAATGTTGAATAAAGTCCAACCTCATCAATTCGACTAGAACTATAGAAATTAGGATTTCCACAACCGCTATGAATACAATTTTAACGCAATCTTTCAAATTCAAACAAAGTTCAATTGGCTCCGCAGCTTAAGCCGGAAGACCATGGACAACGACGATCTGTTGTTGATTGTATTTTGGAACAACGACATCGACTGAATGGTGAATTTTCAAGTTACATCACCTTTGATGATCTAATCAATGCACCAAATCGTATCATTTGATGTTTTGAAAAGCCGCGAAAAATTATTGAAAAACGGGCCCAAACAGTGACGCTGTTTGATGTGCATTGTGGGTTGAAAGCATTATTGGATAGTTTTTCTTTTAAAATTATGTAAGTTAACCATTAACCGTTACTGGTGCTGGTGAGCGTGATTTGTTAACTTTTTAGTGCAAAAACTGAAATCCTTTGTCCGACATGCGAAGCAGCCAGGAGAAACTGTATGAAAAAATACTGCCACACAAGAAATATCTGGTCGTGTTTTTTTATTGTTTTAAAGATGGGCGTTGGCAGCCGAAATTATGCAGTCTATGGCCTTTGGAGATTTCTGTTTTTTATTTGGTCTCACGTTCATATGAACCAACGTACAGCGAATTAAGCCTTAAAAACCGATATTCAACGCCGTATCACATAAATATCGCAAAAACTTGTAAGCAACAGTTCTTTAAAATTTCAGGAAAAGAGCCAGCTTATGCCATCAGAGTCGAGGCGACCTATTTACTGGTTGTCTCGATGTCTTATTCCACTCAAAACCTCATAATGCGTACTTTTTTACTCAATCATGCATTAGTCTAAAGTTAACACTCTTGTATTGAAGATACTAAAATGTACAGGACTAAGAAACTACGGGCCGTCAGTACCACATTGCTTTGTTTGGGAGTACCTACTTAATTCAATACCAAAATTGAATAGAATAACGGTTTCCGAATATCGCTGATTGCCACTCAGAAGTACAGAAACATTCGAAACTGAACATTATACTTCTCAAATTTTCGTATATCTGCCGATAAAATAAATAAAAATAAATTTATTAGTTTATTATTTCAGCTATTAATGTGAATGTGTGATTAATATGAATATTTTCTAAATCTCACAGAATACTACAAGCATTTTATAATAAAAATTAATAATTCGGTACATGCCGTTCTAAACTGTTTTGTTAGTGTATTTCTGAAATTTCTATCAGAAAAAAGTAAAAGGTTCTTATCAGAAGTACCTGAGTTATCCAATTTTGGTATCTAAAAATTATTTAGCTTATATAAAATGAAATAATGTTTACAGGTAGGTGTGTAAAATAAAAATAGGTGATGATAAAACACAAGTATAAAAATAAGCTAAAGTGAGCTTTGCTGGATTATAAATATGACTTCAAGATAGATTTCGAATGAAACTTTCGATTATACGATGGATAACGTAAATACAATGAAACTTTCCAAATTTCAATTCCAGTTGAAATCAACGGATGTAGGTACATGAAACCGCTCCCTTTTACCACGTCTCTTTGTCGGCATCATTTGGCAAACTTTCTCGACTCTTGATGAAACTCAACTTGAACTCATCTGGTACTTTGTGATGTTTAATCACACGTTGAACATGTATAACGATAGAATAAGATCGAATTTAAAGCAAATTCGGCCCCATTCGCAACATTTATTCTTTCATACGGTACTCACCATTATTAACTAAAGTAATAAGCATTCGAGCTATGTTAGACTTGGGTACTGGAATATGTTTGACGAGTCTTTTCTTGTTCTTGGTTTGATTTGCAGACTTAGTTTTTGGTCCCCGTGCTTGTGCATTAGGAATCGGTGCACTCTGCGAAGCTTCACCGTCATCACTCTGATCACTCAAAAACTCATCTCGATCTGAAACAAAAACAAAATGTTAAAAGCCTTTCTATTCGTCAATCAATGATCTAAGTCAATTCAGACCTCTTCAAATAATTTTTTTCGTCGTTTTCTGTACATGCAACACCTCTTTGGGACATAAAATGAAGAAGATTACATTTCATTAAATTTGAGGAGTAACAGTAACAAATCAGAACCACAGCAAATGAGATTATAGAAAAACTTGATAAATTTACGACAATGACACGATAATTATTTCCCCAAGCCATGTACTACCTTTAAATCAGCTTCTGTTCTCAGGAGAACCGTGCATAGTGCACATTTGAAAATCTACACTGGATGACAAAATATACATACAATTATTGCATAAAACCGTAGCAAAAGTCAGTACTCTACTGTAATATCACCAGAAAAACGTTTTCATCTAATTTTAGAAGATTATGCGTTTAAACTAAGTAACTTTATATCTGAGGTGTACAGGAAATAGAGCAGCAACTAAAATTATTAAATAGTACTAATAACAAAATTTGAAAGTTCTCATTTTTAATTTGCAACTAAGGATGAAGTTAAATATTTAGATTTTTTGATTTGTGGCGATTGTCATTACCAGTTATGTTATAATATAAAAGTTGCAAAACTATCTAATCATTTTATAATAATTTTCGCAATATAAATAGCATTCTGTAGCAACCCTTTCCTACTAAAAGAAATTAGAAATCGTTTATTGATTATTATGATGCGTTATACCGTTTCCGGACATTAGAAACTTGTAATCAATAAAATTCCAGTTATTAAAAACGGACCGCAAAATTTTTGCTTAATAAGACAGGGATTTCCTTGACAAAAAAACTTTGAAGATACCTTTTCATAAGTTTCAAAATATGAATACGTAAACTATTTTGGTTATTTTTCAGACAATATTCTAATTGGCTGAACTTTTATGCTTGTGTAATTTCTTATTTTTATCATAACAATATTTGACATACTTTTATTTTCACATTGTAAATAATAACATGTTCATTACCTAAGCTCAGACTATTTAGGTAATATTGCAAATTAAAATATTTTTGAAATGGAGGCTTCTAAAGTTCCTATCTCGCATATATAGCACCGCAACAAAGTTGCCTAAAACCGAATGACTAGTTTATTAAATTAGTTGAAAATATTTCGGAAAATTAAATTTAATTAGTTATATGCTGTTTTAATTTCGATTTAGTCGCATCACTGTCCTCTACAGATACAAATGTGTTAGACAGCGTTCCACAGTGATTAGTAATGGTATACTCGCAATTAATTTCAACACACTTTAGAGGAACAGCAAAACTAACTAATTGTACTCATAGTTAGTATGTGTTTATGTAAAAGTACTCCCCATTTTGTTCGTTTCAGTCCATATTTTCCAGTAGTGAATCCCCAATATCCATTTTCGGAGCAAATTAGTTTCTCAATATCAGTGAATCAGCTTGAGATGCGATCGCCTATAAATCTAGAGTGAAAATTTAAATAGATTGTGCTTCAAAAAGATTGATTGGGCACGGTGAAAATTTATTGGCCAGCATTTTGATTTCGTTGCCTCCGGCAATTTCGACCGTGGAACATATACAGCAATAAAATTTTAATTCTGTGCAGTAATTCAATAAAAATCATTGGTTACCCATGAGAACATAAATTTCTTATATTGGACCTAAATGTCGTTTGAATCCATACAAAGCAAATCGACATTTTTATCAACAGGCTCAAAATAGCTGAATACCATTTGAACTTCTACGGAACGACAAAGGTATAAAAAGAAGAATCAAGACCGAATTGAAATAACTGTTCCGTTCCGCTTTCGGTCCCAGACAGCATTTTAAATTTGGGTTCCGGTTTGCTTTTTGGTTTATTTCGGTTCTTAAATCTAATACAACAAACGAGAGCAAAGATAGAAGCAACTCCATCTAGATGAAGTTGTCCCATTCCTAGGAATCTCATTACCTTTTTCGACTGGTTGAACGGTAGACACAATTATAATAAGCAAGTAGCAAGTAAGTATAGAGGGTGATTCAAAATTGGCGTCATTTTTGTCTGGCGGTGTTTTAGCAGTCCAGAAAAAATAATAAAAAATATTTGCAATATTTTTCTCGTACTCTCGTAAGTGAGCCCCTATTACCCCTTAAAAGGAATGACGCCAATTTTGAATCACCCTATATAAGGATTGAAATTAAGGTAAAACCAAATATAACAACTTTGAAATAAGGACTGAAATAAGCATTGCAGATTAATGCTGGGATTGACACTCAGGGACCACATTACGAACACTGAACTCTGACTGGTAGATGCAGTGGAGAATATCGCAACTCGGAAATGGAACTGGGCAGGACATGTTGCCAGGATACAAGACAATAAGTGGACCAAGCGAATAATAAAGTGGAGACCCAGAGAAGACGCGAACAGAAATAAGGGACGACCGCCAACCAGATGGTCTAACGACATAAAACGCATCAGGACCAACTCGATGCAGAACTAAGAATCTAGAACTAAGAATCTAAGCTGATGATGATGAAGAAGAAATAAGGACTCCCATACAAAAGTTTATTTAGTTGTGGTGTTGTTAAAAAGTATTTTTTTTACTGTATTTCCTGACTAGAAGTTTTTTCTTCATTCCGTTTTCACTGAGGACCACTATTTCGTTAATTCCTATTCTTTCAGTCTTATTTCCGTTTAAATAATTTTCCCCTGTGGTTTGTGCCTTTACATTATGCACAAACTTTTGAGGAGTTGGTTTTGTTGGGAATCCGATTTCAAATTTTTTGTTGCTGGTGATCAAAAAACTAAAATAATTGAACTTAAAGAAGGATTTTAAAAGTAGTGTATAACGTACGGTGTTTGTTCTTCATGATTGAAAAGTCGGTTGGTCCTGACAAATAAAAATTCCTCTAAAATTGTTTTGTTAATATTTGACCTCGTAGGCGGCGACAAAAATTGAGTTGCCGACACGCTTATTAACACTTGAGCAAGCATGTATAACTCGGGATTAAAATTTTTCTTGTTTTTTTGCTCCACTTTACAGGAATTCTAACTAATTAACTAAGCCATAAATTAACCATGCGAAGAAAATTCGTGCTGATTTAATTCATTTTAATAGTTTTTGGTCTGAATCTGTATGCCTGCAAAAGGCTTCTAGTCGGTTAATGAAGAACCAGATGATTTTTTCTCATATCGTGTTGGTCGGGGTTAGATTCAGAAGCGGAAGAATTTCACTTTTTTCCAGAGTTTTTCCAACATCAGTGTTTTGCAGAACGACTGTAAATGTGCTTTTGCTCTTTCCACTTGATTCTCTTCTAAAACTACCTTATACGGGAGTTCAAAAATATACCAACAAGGATCACTTAATTATTTAACATTATAATTTCTCTTTCCTCCATTTTCCTGAAGATGCAAAGACAGAACCAGTTGTATTTAATGACAACTTGCATTATTGCCAGAAGCCACAAAAACTGCTATAACCAACAAACGCTAATAACTAAAAACTTATTCACGAAGAGCGATAGAAACATAGCTAAAAACTCACGTAAACATAAAATAATCAAAAATACAAGTCGAAAGTTTTAAACAATCTAAATTATTGTATTTGCTTTTGTAAATATATATTTTGACATTTTCCCTAACAATCTTTGAATCTAAAATTCACTTCCGTTTGTTTTTATCAAGAGGTCAAGTTCCTAGGAATCCTCAGAAACCCAAATATTAATTTATTTCAAACATTGCAAGCTGAACCGAGATAAAATATGGGTTCAGTTCATGGGTTAAGGTTCGGAAAAACACCGGTTCCGTTCCGGTTCTGAGTCCATATCGGTTCCGATCTGGATCCCTGTATAAAAGTCTTGCTTAGGATTGACGGTTTCATAGGTCTAGGCGACGCATTTTAAGGAGACAAATAATACACGGAACACGGCTAAAACGAAAACATACATGCACACATACATGCATCGTACGTAAATTGTGTGAAATGGCTAAATCGGCTATGACAAAGCGTTCCCAAAATGCAAACCGACAAATAATTTGATTGCAGACTCCTGGAATTACAGAAATACGATTAACCACAACCTTCCTTAAAAGAAAAGTCAATTGAAACAGAAATACAAGGTACCACAGTTTTAAATGGTCTTTTACAAATAACTAACGAACGAGTTTTTGCCATTAATTATGAGACCACTGTCTATAGTTCAAATAAGTTATAAATTTTAAGAAAATCTATACTATTTTATGAAACCTGCATTTGGATTTTACACAATGTTGTTAATATGGCCGTTATATGTATCTATTTCTTCTGCTCATCTTTGCAGATCTGTTCTGTTTGTTGTTGCTTCTGAGTTCATAACTCTCACAAGTAAATTAGGGATAAAACAAAATTGGATAGATTATTATATCAAACACAGCCTTGTCGCCTCGTATCATTAAGCTCAACGTTAAGTAATATATAGAGTTATATCAGTTGTATCTTCGTTTTGTCTGATATAGAGCTATTTATCTTCTTTAGAAAATATGTGCAGTGTTTAGCTAATACTTAAGAGCAGACGGAACTTCTACTTTCGTCTCTTGTACCGTATACTATTTTTCCTGATCCTCGGAGAAAACTAGCTGAGAAAAGTCTAAGGTTTTGAGGAAAACGGCTTTGAAAATGTTGTTAAAACAAACTGTGAAGCGGTCGGTCAGCGTGGCGAAAGTTATTACTTTCCACACGGGATAAAGAAACATTAATTGAAAAATGGTCAATTGTCATTGTCATGTCATTGTAATGAGTAAGTGATAATTTCGCAGTGGTGAAACTGTGTACTTTCCCCAAAGAAAAATGTTTTTTTTTTATAGTTTTGAGCTATTATGCCAAAGCATTGACGCATGCTTATACAAAAATGGCATTTACATACTGTGTGTCAATTTGAAAACTTCCCACCCTTAATATCTTTCTTGCAGTTAAAAATATGAAAAATCGGAAAGACCCGTCAATTTTATTTTATAAGAGGACACTTTAAATTAAT